AACTTACAGAAAATATCGGTATCCATAAAAGATTTAACACAATCAAACTTAGTTGTCATACCTGACTCCTTACATTCATCGAGGTCCCAATCTTCAGAGTTGTGTTTAATTCTATCCAATAAATTCCATCTAAATTCAATAGGCTTCATCATAAAAGAGCCAGCACAAGAAGTATCGAGCATGGTGCGATTGTTATCAGAAAGTCGAGCATAAAAGCTTTGCATAATTATTTCTCTTGGGAGCTCATGATTGGGGCATGAATATAACATTGATTTAAGCCTCCCCCAAGCTTGAGCGATGCTTTCTCCTTCGCGAGGCCAAAAATTATATATATAATTGCGATCATGATGAACAAGATGCATAGGGTAATACTTTTGATGAAATTCCAATTTCAATCTTTTATAGTTCCATGATCTCATATCATCACATAGCCTATACCATGTCAATGCGTCTCCCTTCAAAGATAAAGGGAAAGCCTTCTTCTTAACAACATCATCGGGTATACCTGCAAGCTTAAATAGTCCACAAACATCATCCACATAGCGTAGATGTTCATCAGGATGCTTTGTTCCATCTCCTGTAAAAGTGTTAGCTAGCAGTTTTTCCATCATACCCGAAGGAATCTGAAAAGGAGTTTCATTTTCAATAGGTTCAGTAGGTTCAGTAGGTTGAGGAGCAACTCTTTGCTCTACTGGACGGGGTGAAGATACCCCGAACAAGCCCCTCGGACAATTACTTTCCATAGTAACAAGTGACAGAAAATTTCAGCACACTAAATAAATTTTCCTTACCAAATTCCACCTACCAAAGGCGCTTCATTCCCCGGCAACGGCGCCAGAAAAGAGTCTTGATGACCCACAAGTATAGGGTATCGTAGTCCTTTCGATAAGTAAGAGTGTCGAACCCAACGAGGAGCAGAAGGAAATGATAAGCGGTTTTCAGCAAGGTATTCTCTGCAAGTACTAAAATAAGTGGTAATAGATAGTTTTGTGATAGGATAAATTGTAACGAGCAACAAGTAACAAAAGTAAATAAAGTGCAGCAAGGTGGCCCAATCCTTTTTGTAGCAAAGGACAAGCCTGGACAACTCTTATAATAGGAAAAGTGCTCCCGAGGACACATGTGAATATCGTCAAGCTAGTTTTCATCACGCTCATATGATTCGCGTTCGGTACTTTGATAATTTGATATGTGGGTGGACCGGTGCTTGGGTGCTGTTCTTACTTGAACAAGCATCCCACTTATGATTAACCTCTATTGCAAGCATCCGCAACTACAACAAAAGTATTAAGGTAAACCTAACCATAGCATGAAACATATGGATTCAAATCAGCCCCTTACGAAGCAACGCATAAACTAGGGTTTAAGCTTATGTCACTCTAGCAACCCATCATCTACTTATTACTTCCCAATGCCTTCCTCTAGGCCCAAATAATGGTGAAGTGTTATGTAGTCGACGTTCACATAACACCACTAGAGGTTAGACAACATACATCTTATCAAAATATCGAACGAATGCCAAATTCACATGACTACTAATAGCAAGACTTCTCCCTTGTCCTCAGGAACAAACGTAATTACTCACAAAGCATATTCATGTTCATAATAAGAGGGGTAATAATGTGCATAAAGGATCTGAACATATGATCTTCCACCAAATAAACCAACTAGCATCAACTACAAGGAGTAATCAACACTACTAGCAACCTACCAGCACCAATCCCGGGCTTGGAGACAAGAATTGGATACAAGAGATGAACTAGGGTTTGGAGATGAGATGGTGCTGGTGAAGATGTTGATGGAGATTGCACTCTCCCAATGAGAGGAGCGTTGGTGATGACGATGGTGATGATTTCCCCCTCCCGGAGGGAAGTGTCCCCGGCAGAACAGCTCTGTCGGAGCCCTAGATTGGTTCCGCCAAGGTTCCGCCTCGTGGCGGCAGAGTCTCGTCCCGAAAGGTTGCCTTATTTTTTTCTCATCGAAAGACTTCATATAGGATAAGATGGGCGTCGGAGAGCCACCAGGGGGCCCACGAGGTAGGGGCGCGCCCAAGGGGGTGGCGCGCCCCCACCCTCGTGAGCAGGGTGTGGGCCCCCTGGTCTTCATCTTTGGCGATGATTTTTCTTTATTTATTTTAAGATATTCCATGGAGTTTTAGGACTTTTGGAGTTGCGCGGAATAGGCCTCTAATATTTGCTCCTTTTCCAGCCCAGAATTCCAGCTGCCGGCATTCTCCCTCTTCATGTAAACCTTGTAAAATAAGAGAGAATAGCCATAAGTATTGTGACATAACATGGAATAACAGCCCATAATGCAATAAATATTGATATAAAAGCATGATGCAAAAATGGACGTATCACCATCTACCCAAGCACCGCCCGAGCGAGCACTAAAACCCTAACCTATCTACTAGTCCGAGCCTGGAGCCGAGGCACTAGGATTCCACACCCTACAACCAGTCACCAGAGCAGCAGTCAGAGAGGAGACAAATCCATGAGCTCACCGTTGAAGATTGAAGGGAGGAAGCCTTTTCCCTAGTTGCATTTGATGTTCTGCAAGTGGATGTGCACGGAGTTTAGTTGTAGACTTTTCGAAGTATAGATCCCAGAGTGAGCACAGAAAATGATCTTTGCCTCCTACAGTGATTTGTCTGAATTTGCCTGCAAGTTAATTGTGATATGAAACAAAAGCGTTGCGAATGTGGAAATATTGCGAAGGTGTTGTTACTAGAATTTAAAGTGTGCAAGAAATAAGAGAGTATTGTAAACGATCGATATGGTCGAACAGAAAGGGGGAGGGGGTGTTGAATAGTCGACTAATAGTTTTTAACTTTGTTCCTAATTTGAGGTTTAACAAAAGATAAATCGTCTAGATATGCAATTAGGTGGACAACCTATATGACAAGCACAACGAGCAACACAAGCTAACCAGAGTAAACATATGATGGAAGCTAGCACAAAATAAAGGAACGAGACAACCAAAGTGGAGATGACGAAGACGAGATGTGTTTCTGAAGTTCCTTCCTTTGAGGGAGGTACATCTTCGTTGAAGAGGTGTAAAGGCATGCTCCCCAAGCGTTCCAAGGGCTCACTCTATTCTCTTTCACTCCCTCTTTCGCTCCCTCGCGCAAGGTGTTGTGAATCCACTAGTGATGTCCTTGAAGGCGGCAACCAGAATCTTTACCAACAAGTAGGGGTGGAATTCAAGTCGAGTCGAGTCGAGCCAGCTCGGCTCGACTCGTTAGAGCTCGTTAAGATAACGAGTTAGCTTGGCTCGACTCGTTAACATAACGAGCTTAGATTCAAATTCGGCTCGACTTGTGTAACTCACCCCCTCTCATGTGTGACGGGGAAGACAAGTCAACACGTGTAACCGGAAGAGAGCGACGGCGCGCGAAACTCACGTATGACTCGAGAGGCCTATACGTGGACACAAAGGGGTGCAGCAGCAATTTTTTAGATAAATTGCGTAAGGCAGGACTTGAACTCAAGACATTGGCTCCGATACCATGTTAAGCTTCATGCACTAGCCAACGCAAGAGAGCTAGCTTATTTAACTCGTTAAGCTTGTTATAGGCGTGAATAATAAAAATATACATATTATGTATGCAGTTAATCTAAAAAATATGTTTGTGGACTCATACTTTTCTTCACGAATCACAACAATCAACAATCTACACTAAAGAAACACTTGGTACACTCCATAAATGATAAAATTGTATAACAATATTGGTACTTATGTCAAGTCACTTTTGATTAACGAGCTTAATGAGCTAAACGAGCAGCTTGTTAGCTCGGCTCATTAAACTTGTTTTGTTAACGAGCTCGGATTAAAGCTCGACTCGACTTGTTAGTCGTCGAGTTTGAGTTGAGTCACGAGTTTCGAGTTAAAATTCCAGCCCTACCAAGGAGGTTGAGGCTCGATCCACAACGCACATGAAGAGAAGTGACGTGGCTGTTGCTTGTGCTTTAAGATGAGTGCTTCTGATTGAAACTTTGCTGGCGCGTTCGCTAAATAACATGGGGAAATTTTGTTTTTGCCACTCTAGATTTTGTAAATTTTGTTTTTGCCACTCTAAATTTTGACATTTCACTTTTGCCACTCTTAGTTTTTGACAATTATCACAACTGCCATCCCGTGGCAAAAGCAAAATATTTTTATTTCATTTTTGCCACTCTTAGCTTCTGAAATGTATCACAATTGCCATCCTGAAATTTTTGCTTTTACCAGGGAATGGCAGTTGTGATAATTATCAAAAGCTAAGAGTGGCAAAAGTGAAATATTAAAATCTAGAGTGGCATAAGTAAAATTGGCAAAATCTAGAGTAGCAAAAACAAAATTTTCCCAAATAACATTCCTCCGATACCGCTTGGACACAGGCTCGAGCGAGACCTGGCCTTTCCTCCCCGCGCGAGAAGCTCGCGGCGGCGGCGGCGGCGGCGCAGGTAGGATTCCCCACTCCATGGCCCTTCTCCTCCTCGGCCTCTCTCCGGCGGCGGCGGCGGATCTTCAAGCCCCCGCGGCTGCCGCCCCTTTCCATACACTGCAGCCATCTGTCCTCTCCCGCGCGAGCCGGCGCAGCCCCTGCGTCTCGCCTATGTCGCTGGCCGGCGCAGCCCCTCCATCCCGCCCTTCTTCTTCCCCTTCTCCTCTGCCATCTTCTTCTCCCGCTTCCTCTTCCATCCTCTTTTTTTCCTTGCCCAGCCAGCCAGCCCCCTTCTAAGTCCCCCTCTTCCCTTGTTCCTATTCTCTTCCCCTGCTCTCCATTTTCTTACTAGCCACAGATTCATGTTTTGCAGGTCTTGCTGATAAGGGGGACACGGTGGCGCACTCCTGAGAATACGTTCGCGTCCTCCGGTAGCGGGAAGAGGCAGGCACCACCGGGATCCCCTTCCCCTGCCCCCCTTACCGCCGCCGCTTTTCTTGGAGGGGAGGAAAAGAAAGGAAAGCCGAGGAGGACAATTAGCGTGCGCTCGGCTTAAAGGAGATCAGACTGTGAGATGGCTTCACCGGAGCCATCGGCGGGCGGCGATGCGGCCAGCCAGAGTGCTGCGGTGCAGCCGCTCCAGCTGCCAACGCCGGAGGAGATCAAGGGGCAGGAGATGATGAACAACTGCGCCGTCCGGAGCGTCCTCAGTGGTGTCATGGGTAACGTTACTCACCACCTCCAATACTACTCCTATATGGCTAATACGTACTATTCAGTTACTGAGGAATTGTAGTATTGTACTACTGGGGCGCATTATACAACTCTGTAATTTGAATTAATGCTAAAATACCGAGTTAATATGTCTCCATGATCTTGTTCAAATGCCATGCAATCAGAGTTTCTGGATGGTGTGACATGGATGTAGTTGTTCATTCTTTAGATGGTTAGTTCTTCACCTGAAGAGTTACAAATAAAACATTGCCAGCTCTGCAAGAGATGAACTTAATTTTGTTTTGAGCGAGTGCGCGTAAGAACTTCAATATGTTCATATGCTGATTCGGTTGTACTCACTTGTACAACTGTCTACTGTTAATTAGTTACTCTAGCTGCTCTAAATCTTTGGTGGCATTCGAAAAACACTTCTTTGCTCCCGTCTCGATGATCCTTCATGTGAAATGGCATGTGATAATGCATAATGGAGATGCCTTTGTTTCAAGTTTTTTTTTGAGGGAAATACCTTTGTTTCAAGTGAACTTGCCTGGGAGAGTTGGGGTCTAAGTTTTTGTAGTGATTCGTCAAGTAAAGTTGGGGTCATGAACTCAACCCAATTAAATTCCAGTACTTAACACATAGTATTACCTTTCAAAGACTGTAAGGTTGAGAGTTTCTCTACATGTCATATGGTCAAGTATTCAGAAAGTGGTTGGATGAAGTTTCAAGTAGTCTGAAAAGGGTTTTCATAGAGCATTAGAAAGGTTTGCTGCTTAACAATGCACAATCGTTTTCCGTTGTAGCTACAACATTGTGCTATAGACATACAGAGCCATGTGCGGAAAATAGCAAGGTCGACGTTTTTGAAGGTTGGTCGGAAGTTATTCTAATTTTTTTAGCAATGGTCTGAATATTTTTTGTATGACATTAGAAAGGTTGCTGTTTGGCCGTGCGCCTCTCTAAATCCTTTTCATGTCAGTGCTGCAAGAAGTATAATGCAATAGACATACATCGCAGCCATACTGGTAATGGCTTGGTGTTTGATCATGTCAACACTGATGTTGTGGGCTTTCCTAGCCTTATTCGCAACCAATGTGACCTTTGAAAGGTTTGCGTTACCTCTGCCTTGGATGTTGGGCATCGTACTTCCTGGTGTACCTATCAGTCATGTAATGGAGTAGCTTTTCATCTTCTGCACCCACCACCGGCTATCAGTTATTCCTTTTAGCATTGGGCACGTGCCTTCCTCTGTTTGCATGCTTGATTGTACAGTGTTTGCTGCGTGAATAAAATCGATTGGAGCAGGTGTGGTTCCTCCAGTTGTCTCCTAAAAAAAGTTTGCTCTGATCCATTCATTCCATGTTCTGCTATTTCTGCTTCAAATGAAGAAACTAAACATTGTATCTAATGCTAGAACATTGTGTGTGTGTGTGTGTGTGTGTACGCGCGTCCACATGTGAGTACTAGTAACATTTCACTTGTGCAGTATATGTAGCTTTCCAACAGCTTGTTGATATTGTCATTGATCTAGAACATGTCAAAGGCCTGCGATGTTAAGTATCTATTGTCTGATTTTGCCCTGTTTAATATTTTGTTTGTTAACGGTTTAGAGGATAGAATCAGTGATGTCAATACCGTGCACTCTATTGTAGTATGTATTACCAAAATATCAGTATTTCCTGTAGTTTGACATTTGGTATCCTTAAGACAACAACGAACAGTCAGTGGCTGGATACTCCGTCCTATACTAACTTAGAAGTCATATTGAGGTTTTGCTTAATGACTTGTGCTTCTATGCTTGTCAATCATTTTGCGTCATGCTAAACAGCTAGAGTATCAGCTATGGACTTAACTCACATGGGGCCCACCTACAAGTGCATAATTTTTCTCAAAATGGACTTATGGAGTATGCACATCTGTTATTAACTGCATTGCTTTCATTCAATAGGGGGTGGTCTTGGTGTACTTATGGGACTATTTTTTGGAGCTTTGGAAAATCCAATAATGTCAGAGGAGATGACAGCAAGGCAACAAATAGTCTACCAGGCAAAACAGATGGGCAGGAAAAGTATGAGCCATGCTAAGACCTTTGCAGTAATGGGCTTGATTTTCTCTGCAGCTGAATGCGTCGTAGAGAAGGTAGGTGCAGCGTGGCATTTCTTTCCCTTCTATTTATGAGCATTTCTGTGATAACATACTTATTTGGACACTTCGAATGGTCATCTCCTGGCAGGCTCGGGCAAAGCATGACATTACCAATTCGGCAGTAGCTGGCTGTGTCACAGGAGGGGCTTTAGCTGCAAAAGGTATGTTTTTTTGTACTTCCTCCGGTCCGAAGTTTGACCAACTTTATAGAAAAAAATCAGCATTCACAATACGAAATCAATATCATTAGATGCACCATGAATTTAATTTTCATATTGTATAACTTTACTATTGTAGATGTTGTTTTTCATATAAATATGGTCAAACTTTACAAAGTTAAACTTCAAACAAATCTTATACGCGAAGTAAAAAGGACCGGAGGAAGTAATAACTGTGGATGAGAACCAACATAATTAATGGATCTACTTATGCTCCCAAGAGAATTTCCCTATCTGCTGCATTGCACTTTGCAGGGGTAAGACTAGGTTCCTATAATCCCTCCCCAGACCCCACCTTGTGTGGGAGCTTCTATGCACTGGGTCTGTCCTTTTTGTCCAATTGTTAGAGATGTTTTAGGTTGGCTTGAGGTGGATGGGTCAACATTTCTTTATGAATGTAAGAAAGGGAGTAACTTCACTCTAAAAGTAGTTTGGTTCTACTAGGACAAGTTGAAGGGCAATCGTACTCATCAGGTAGTTGGTGTCTCTGTTATGAGATTTCAGATAGTTTAATCAATGCTATATTTCTGACTGTATTGGGGAGTTTAGAGGTACTCATCACGTAGTCGGTGTGCCAGGTCAGCAGTCTGTTCTGGTGTTTTGACCACTTACCTTGTCTACCCCTTGATTCTTTACTGCTTAGCCAAAGTTGTGATTGCTTATTTTGAAACATTTTTCTGCTAGCTAATAAAGCAGTAAATCATAATAATGAGGGCGAGAAGCGTGGATATAATTTGGCAAAGCACTATAGCACCACTAGCAAGTTGTTATACTGTTGTTGGTTATGCAGCTCAATTTGATATTTCATCATCCCTAATGGAAGTGGTATTTTTCTTGCAGGTGGCCCTCAGGCCACATGTATCGGGTGTGTGGGTTTTGGTGCCTTCTCCGTGGCGATTGAGAAGTTCATGGAACGGCATACTTGAATCGGTGATGGAAACGTTGCATCCTATAAACCAAGTGATGCGTCTTTGTAGCAAATCATTAGCAGGATTCAGCATTGGCCGAAGAAGTTTTGGTTATTCTGCAATATTCAGTCGTTGGCATGTACCCCAAGATGGGGTAACCTAAATTTTAAGTCTTGCGGCTGTCCATCCATTGCACTGAGTAGCTAACTTAGTCTGTAGCCAGTTTGATGCCATGTACCCAGAGATGGGGGTAATATACGCATTTTCGCTGATGCAATCTCGCGCCATGTTATCTGTGTCTGATGTCTGAATGGTTTCAGAGAAGTACTCCCTCTAAACGCTCTTATATAAGTTTACAGAGGGAGTATATTTTACTTTTTATACTTGTCCGTGGTAATGACCTGAAACCTGCTCTGGTCTTGTACCCTGATAGGCTGGCAAAGTAATAGTAGCATTATTAAGTTCTCTCTAGTAGTCTATCCGATCTATTTTTTTCCGAATAAGTAGTCAATGCGATTATACAATGTAATTTTTGTTATTCTGTGGGGGTATCAATTTTATTTTCTGGCAACAACTCTGCATGTCAATGGTAAATATCAGAACACACTCCAGGGGTAAAGTATTCATATCACTTGAAATATCATTCAACAGTTCGTTTTAGACCCTAGAACGAGACCCAACGAGACAAATTTAATCTATCGGTACATTCCAACAAGACAGTTCATTTGGTCCATTTGACCTCAGACAAACTCGCAACGACTATGTGATTAACTGAGACAAGTTTGGCCGATTCCATCGGAAGAGAAGCTGATTGATACTGGTATGGATTGGTTATTGCGTGCCCTTTCTGCTGTCCGGAGGTCTCATGGAGCATGATCATCATGCTGATCTGATAATCTTTGTACTCCCTCGTTGCACGTGTTGACGTGCATGCTTAGACCTAGTTTGGCAGCACCGTTTATCTAAAACAGTAGTATTACAAAACCTTGGTATTCCAACGCATGGACGTTGAATACTTCAGTATCTAAAAACCTCAGTTTTTCGTGGCTTTGGCAAAACCACTGAGGCGTTTGCCAAATTGCTTTTTCTCAGTTTTCTCCAATTGTCACCTGTTGTTAGGTTGTATGGATAACCCTGGAGATATCGAGCTGAACCGAACTCAGCTACACGATCTGATCAGCTTGTAATCACGGCTGATGTATGCATGCAGCGCTGTGTAGAGAAATTGACGAGATAAATGACAAAGTAGGCGTACAAGGGCGTGTACCTTCCTTCCCATGTGTTGAGCTTGAATTGTTTATTCATAACTAGAGTGAAATGAAGTATAATCAAACTGGTTGACGGCCGGAAAGATGGAGTGGAGAGACCACAAGAGCGATCGTTTCTCGGTTTTTTAAAAAGGGGAGCCGCGGGGTGGTGGTGATGGCCTGGGATCCTTCTCTCTACGCCCTAGTTTCCTCCCCGGAATCCCGCTTCTCTCTTACCATCATGTTGGTTTGCACTTCTTCCGCTGCGCGTGTGGTGATCACCAATGTGTACGAACCTCTGACCACTCCCTTGTGGATGAGTTTGTGGGAGACATGGTTGCCTTAACTGCTCAAGTATCCAATGCCCTGGCTCGTGGTAGGCGATTTCAACCTTATTCGTGCCCCGTCTGAAAAGAATAATGATCGTTTCGACGTCAGGCATGCTGCTAAGTTCAACTGTCTGATCAATACTCTTGCCCTTCATGAGCTCCACATGTCTGATCGTTTGTTCACGTGGTCAAACCGGCAAGACCCTCTGATCCTTGCTCGGTTGGACCGGGCTTTCTTTGACAATAGGTGGGATGCAGCCTTCCCGACTCGACCCTCTCCTCTCTCCCTCGTACTACGTCCGATCACGTCCCGCTTTTGGTGGCTGCGTCCACCAAAATCCCTACCCCCTCTCGTTTCTTTTTCGAAAACGCTTGGTTGACCGAGCCCCTCTTCCTCCCCTCCACTCTTCCTTCCTGGACTAACTCGGTCCGAGGCACGGGCGTAGCTGGAATTCTTTCTGCCAAAAAGAAAGCTTTCAGGGCTGCCTCCAAGGCATGGAAAAAGCGTCACCGGTCCATCCCCACCTTCGATAGTGACTGCCGTTTTTAATAGAGCTTTTTGATTTTTTGGGAGGAAACCCGTTCTCTTTCTGCAGAGGAAAACTTGCTTCGAGACGACAATAGCCTGGCGCTAGCGAGCTCGATTCTTCGCCAAAGCGCTCACTGGCTTCAGCGCGGGAAGCGTAGGGCGGTCTGCGAGGGGGATGAGAACACACAGTTCTTCCATGCCTCCGCCTCGCACCGTCGTCACTACAACGCGATCCCCGCCCTGGAAGTCGAAGGGGTGCGCGTGGTGGATGATAACCCACAAGTATAGGGGATCGCAACAGTTTTCGAGGGTAGAGTATTCAACCCAAATTTATTGATTCGACACAAGGGGAGCCAAAGAATATTCTCAAGTATTAGCAGCTGAGTTGTCAATTCAACCACACCTGGAAACTTAGTATCTGCAGCAAAGTGTTTAGTAGCAAAGTAATATGATAGTAGTGGTAACGATAACAAAAGTAAAGACAGCAAAAGTAATGTTTTTGGTATTTTGTAGTGATTGTAACAGTAGCAACGGAAAAGTAAATAAGTGAGAACCAGTATATGGAAAACTCGTAGGCATCGGATTAGTGATGGATAATTATGCCGGATGCGGTTCGTCATGTAACAGTCATAACATAGGGTGACACAGAACTAGCTCCAGTTCATCAATGTAATGTAGGCATGTATTCCGTATATAGTCATACGTGCTTATGGAAAAGAACTTGCATGACATCTTTTGTCCTACCCTCCCGTGGCAGCGGGGTCCTATTGAAAACTAAGGGATATTAAGGCCTCCTTTAATAGAGAACCGGAACAAAGCATTAGCACATAGTGAATACATGAACTCCTCAAACTATGGTCATCACCGGGAGTGGTCCCGATTATTGTTACTTCGGGGTTGCCGGATCATAACACATAGTAGGTGACTATAGACTTGCAAGATAGGATCAAGAACACAGATATATTCATGAAAACATAATAGGTTCAGATCTGAAATCATGGCACTTGGGCCCTAGTGACAAGCATTAAGCATAGCAAAGTCATAGCAACATCAATCTCAGAACATAATGGTACTAGGGATCAAACCCTAACAAAACTAACTCGATTACATGATAAATCTCATCCAACCCATCACCGTCCAGCAAGCCTACGATGCAATTACTCACGCACGGCGGTGAGCATCATGAAATTGGTGATGGAGGATGGTTGATGATGACGACGGCGACGAATCCTCCTCTCCGGAGCCCCAAACGGACTCCAGATCAGCCCTCCCGAGAGAGATTTGGGCTTGACGGCGGCTCCGTATCATAAAACGTGATGATTTCTTCTCTCTGATTTTTTTCTCCCCGAAAGCCAATATATGGAGTTGGAGTTGGCGTCGGAGGGCCACCAGGGGGCCATGAGGTAGGGGGCGCGCCCAGGGGGGCGCCCCCCACCCTCGTGGACAGGGTGTGGGCCCCCTGGCCTTCATCTTTGTCGATGATTTTTCTTTATTTTTTCTAAGGTGTTCCATGGAGTTTCAGGTCATTCCGAGAACTTTTATTTTCTACATATAAAACAACACCATGGCAATTCTACTGAAAACAGCGTCAGTCCGGGTTAGTTCCATTCAAATCATACAAGTTAGAGTCCAAAACAAGGGCAAAAGTGTTTGGAAAAGTAGATACGACGGAGATGTATCAACTCCCCCAAGCTTAAACCCTTGCTTGTCCTCAAGCAATTCAGTTGACAAACTGAAAGAGAAAAAGAAAAACTTTTACAAACTCTGTTTGCTCTTGTTGTTGTAAACATGAAAAGCCAGCATTCAAGTTTTAGCAATTATTATGAACTAACCATACTCACAATGACACGTAGGTCTCACAATTACTCATATCAATAGCATAATCAGCTAGCGAGCCATAATAATAAAACTCGGATGACAACACTTTCTCAAAATAATCATAACATGATATAACAGAGTGGTATCTCGCTAGCCCTTTCTGAGACCGCAAAACATAAATGCAGAGCACCTTTAAAGATCAAGGACTGACTAAACATTTTAATTCATGGTAAAAGAGATCCAATCAAGTCATACCCAATATAAACCAATAATAATGAATGCAAACGACGGTGTGATCTCCAGCGGGTGGCTTTTAATAAGAAGGGTGATGACTCAACATAAAAGTAAATACATAGGCCCTTCGCAGAGGGAAGCAGGGATTTGTAGAGGTGCCAGAGCTCGGTTTTGAAAAAGAGATAAATTATATTTTGAGCGGCATACTTTCATTGTCAACATAACAACTAAAAGATGACGATATCTTCCATGCTAAATAGATTATAGGCGGTTCCCAAACAGAATGGTAAAGTTTATACTCCCCTTCCTCCACAAGCATCAATTCATGGCTTGCTCGAAACAACAAGTGCCTCCAACATTCAACGGGCCCCAAGGGAAGTTTTGTTTGCAATTATTTTAATTTAGTTTGCATAAAGCATGGGACTGGGCATCCCGGCTACCAGCCATTTTCTCGTGAATGAGGAGCGGAGTCCACTCCTCTTGAGAATAACCCGCCTAACACGGAAGATAAGGGCATCTCTAGTTGACATATGAGCTATTCGAGCATGCAAAACAGAATGTTTATTTGAAGGTTTAGAGTTTGGCACATACAAATTTACTTGGAACGGCAGGTAAATACCGCATATAGGAAGGTATAGTGGACTCACATGGAATAACTTTGGGGTTTAAGGAGTTTGGATGCACAAGCAGTATTCCCGCTTAGTACAGGTGAAGGCTAGCAAAAGACTGGGAAGCGACCAACTGAGAGAGCGACAACAGTCGTAAACATGCATTAAAACTAATTCACACCGAGTACAAGCATGAGTAGGATATAATCCACCATGAACATAAATTTCATGAAGGCTATGTTGATTTGATTCA